CATTCCACAAAGGAAGAGGCAAAAGCTGAAACTTGGTGAGGTTTACAGAACAAAGGCAGTTATTTCTAGTTTCTCACTGACTCTCGAAGATACATTTAATAAAACAATTAATGCGTGTGTGTGTGTGTGTGTGTGTGTGTGTGTGTGTGTGTGTGTGTGTGTGTGTGTGTGTGTGTGAGGTAGAAGAAGAATTGTACACCATAAAAATAGCTACGTATGTAGTTGGGGTAGCTATGTTGAATGAATCACATTCTTCTTTCCCCACCATTATGTCTACGTCAGCCATCATGGATCCATGCGCATGCTTTCATACATAATCCATCCTCCCACCATTCCCCAACATCCATCGAACTATAACTATATCCGCACTCATGTATCGGCATTCGTGCTTTCATACATACATACACCCCCCTACCATTCCCCTACATCCATCGCAGTATAACTATGACTATAACCGCCTTCGTGCATCCGCACTTATGTTCACATTGCATTGCATATGCATCGAATTACACGTTTAAAATATCGTAAATATTTTACAACATGTACATATTATATATCAGCAAACAGAGATTATTATAACGCAATAGATTTCATCCGTCAAACATCACAGAAAGAGGGGCAGCCTGGAATTTTACAATGGCATCTGAATGCACTAAGACGTCCAACTGGTCAGGAGGTGAGAGTTGCGGAAGATTACGGTAAACTTCAGTTACAGATCTCCATTACGAATATCTAAAGTATGAATAAAGATCACAGCTTGCTATGACGTGTACTTCATGCCAGCAGAATTAGCAATGTCCTTAGCTCTAAATTGTATGTCTAAATGCTTATGTAGACAAAGACCCAAATGTATATAGGCATGACCATATTATATTCTACGCAAATATCACCACATTTAAAAACAAAGCTAGATTGAGTCTTTGAAGGGCATTAAGAACTGATACACACAAGGAAAAATATTTATGGATGTCAACGGAGGAACACTGCGTTTCGGAATATATACTTTCTCCTTCATCAGGTGCATATTATTAAATGCTATGAGGCAGAGAACATATATTTGTACCTGTAAGAACAACAAAAGTAAAAAGATAGCAAAGAAGGGATCGCAACAAGGGAAGCCAACAGATAACTGGCATGGCGCTGATTACCCCGCCTCCCGTTTGCCCATTGTCCATTTCCCATTACCAATCATTCATAAGTTAAGTTTTGGCTTTAATTTGTCCATTGATAATCAACCATCAACGTCTGTTATCTCCACCCTAAAAATATGTAGTTTACTGAGAAAGTGGTATCCAAATATAATGTGTGTTACTGTTGACCACTTTCTTAAAGGCATTGTTGGTTCAAAGCTTTCGGTCATAGAAGCCGTGCCATTTTTCTCTTGTCAGAGGAGTACACAAAGTATACGTCATCTGGACTAACATTTTTGGTTTGGTGGCTGGGTTAGATCGCCAAATTTGTGTTCTGGCGATTGGGTGCCTCACTCACAGTGTGGGTTCAAATCCCGGACGGCACTCAACCCAAGAAAGTACGAGAATCTGTACTTCACTCAGAAAGTGTTATCCCAATTATAACATTTGTTGTCAAGAAAACACAATAAATGTATATTCGGCTTTGGATGGGTAATGATATCACAGACATATACGGATATTGATGATGACTTGGAGGAGCTTCGTAACGCACGCCTTCTCAATTCAGGGATTGGTAAATCCAAATATGTGTGTGCGCGTGCGTGCGTGCGTGCGTGCGTGCGTGCGTGCGTGCGTGCGTGCGTGCGTGCGTAATTGTGGGCCTGTTGGATGTTACATAAAACATTCATCTTGAGCGGGATGGTAGTTCGAGTTGGATTAGCATGTTAACTATATGATCTTCTTTAGGCAGAGAATGCGAGTAGCTTTTTTGGAATGAGATGAATAAGTCTTATAAAGTTGTAAGCTTCTTCACAACCGTGTAACTATGAATTGACTTTATTGGGTAATCAAAAAAGAGATAGGACCTAAAAAAGCCAAATTTCATACGATTTCACTTGGATGCAAGGCGAAAACATTTCAGCGCGTTTGAAGCCACTGAGAATGCCCCCTGCAGAGTTGGACGAACATTCTGCGGTGGCGCGGCTGAGTTGACCAGAGGCTATCAGCAGTATTTCCTGTCCATGTTATTTAGGTCAGTTGTTTGTGTGTGTGTGTGTGTGTGTGTGTGTGCGTGCGTGCGTGCGTGCGTGCGTGCGTGTGTGCGTGCGTGTGCGTGCGTGTGCGTGTTTGCGTGCGTGCGTGCGTGCGTGTGGGGGCGGGGGCGGTGGGGGAGGCGGGGGGTGAGCTTGGGGGGATAGATGATAGATTTAGCAACAAGTAAGGTCATCTTGAGTGGGAGGGTATTCGCAGATGGATTAGCATATGAACTATGATTCTCTTTAGGCAGAAAATGAGGATCCACGATGTTCGACCTGGTAGAAGTGTGTTATCAAACCTCACAGCATTGGTTTTTTGACTGACTGTAGCGTCAAAACAAACTCATTCATTTACTTGAACTGAATGTTCATCTTAATTGTTATGGATAGTCACGGAGCCATGATCCAGAGTACAGGGTGTCATTAGATAGAAATCAACTAAGTAATAATAGGATTACCAGAAAAACGGGGTTTTACACACAAGTCAATAAACTTCGCTCATTAACACCAGAGTAAGTCAGTACAAGATTGAAAACTGCCCCATAATTATGTATGACATGCTTGTCGGGTATTGCTATGTATATATGTAAAAACAAAGTTATTTAAATGAAGAGCAAAACTGATGAAAGTTAACAATAAACGTGTATACGTGTTATATCGTCTCTGCAAAAATAATGATTGTTTGTCTTTAGTATTAACATTCAAATACGTTATATCTGTATTAGCGATATTGTCTTTGTTCCACCGGTGAGTCAGCGTTAGCCGTACTATCTCGTAGTATAATTGTATTTCTGAAGACATCACGATACAGTTTTTACGATGCATCACGTCTGCACTAGCGCTTGATAACAGCCTTGTGTTTGGGTGATTCAGTGGTTTAAATCGCTGCTCTTGATATTGTTGATTAAACTTTGATACTATGAACAATATAATGTTATGTGAGAGGTTGCCTTTAGAACGGTAACATACTAATAGTATATAGGATGACATAAACAGAACAATGAGAAGTTCGTCCAGATTAGTGTATAGGCAACATTTAATAATTAAAATAATTACATTCAACAACTCCCCTTTTAAGTCCATTTTCCTGACTTATAAGTAAATGCAAGAACAATCGGCCGGAATACAATGTATAGTTCTTGTCCACTTCCGTATGACTATATAGCATACAATAAGCTATCGGGTCCCGTTTAGATCGGTTTGGGTGGCAGCCTAGATAGCCATAGAATAGTTTCATTTTGGAATCTCCCATTTCACTGGGGATCCTCTTCAATTTAAATGGAGTTACTCGTTACAATTCCGAACCTTCACGTGACTGTGTTTATGAACCATTGTCAAATAGTGGTGACATTAAATCTAGGAAACAATACGCGAAATCGCGCATGCAAAGAACGGAAAATTTGGTCAAGGCATTAAGTAATCCGCATGCGCAGAACGATTGATTTCAGTACTTCCGCTAAGCGCTTCGAGTGCAGCGTCAAACGCGGACCTGTAATCTAACACGCGGGGACTGACCAATGAAATCTGAGAAGTAGAAATACCGGTAGACGCTGTTGCTTGATTGACAATGTCAATCAAGAAAGGGAGGAGCTTAACGCTATCGTTCTCTCCCAGTAAATTCCGATGTCAAATAACGACGTTATTTGGACGGAAAAACGATGGTTTGAAAACGTCCAAATAACGTCGTTTTTCCGTCCAATGACCATATACGGAAAAAAACGACGTTTTCGTGTTTGCAGTGAATATAGTTACATGTTTTTTCCTCTAGAGGAATTGGTGGTCGACTGAATCTTCCTAATTCAATTTGAAGAGGTAGAGTGCCACATCTCAATTTAGCAAGATTACTTCTATGTTGTCTGCTTCTGATTAATTTAACGTATGGTTCTGTGCAGGGATTAACTTTAAATTTCCTATAGGCACGAAGCTTATTACCGTTGGCTAGTCCCCGGTCATTCCACAGGTCGTTAAACCACGTAAAGAGTTCATATGGATTTAATGTTCCTTAATGGTCTTAAAATCTTGATTTTGACACCTGCAGTATATTTGTGATATCGATCTAGGATTTACATCTTATTTGGACCACATAGCGATTTTTATGAACTATTCTGTCTTGTTCAACGATCGACAACTTCTTACATAACCTAATGACTTCAATTCTCTGCAGGGTAAGCGAAGACAGCCAACCCATCTCTCCCCTCACAGCCAAGTTAGGGGTTTTACATCTGACGCCCAAGAAAAAACGGCATGCAGGCATGCACGGTGCTGGACGTTATTTAAACATCTAAACTCTCTTAGACCCCAGATTCCGGACCCGTAAGACAAAATTGGTTGTACGAATTTACTATATAAAGTATTATAAACTTCAAATGCCATTCCGCCCATAGTTTTAAATTTACTGATAATAACACCACGAGCTCTGTTAGCCGACTTAGCTAACTCCTTGGCAGCAAAATTAAAGTCAAGATTGACAGAGAGATGAATAATCGCAGGTCGGGTCAGTATAATTTCATTGGTTAATTATAGTTTGCCATTTTGTAAACAGTTTTTGAAAAGATGAAAGAAATGATGGTGCAGAAAAAAGACCAGCAATTAACACTATAACCGTGATGTAATCGCGTTACTCAATACAATCCATAAAGAACAATATATAGGGCGCCCTTTACTATTTATTCCATATTTTATATCAATAATTCATTTATGGGTACCAAAGAATGAATTTATATCACAAAAAAGATTTTGTTATACAATGAAATGTTTATTGATACCGCAAATCGATTTTTAGATATCAATAACATAATTGATCAAATAATGTACTTTATCATCTAAAAAATCGAATAAGGTATGATATCTAGAGCCTTCGTCTCCGTGACGTTATGCCCATTTTTTACAGTTCGTGTTGATAGGTACAATGTTAGTATAACATTTACAATTATAGTCATATTCAGTCGACAAATTGATAAATACTCAAAAACAAATGACTAGTAAACTAATAATGTACGTTGAAAATAATATATTGTTAATGCCAAAATGATTTATCAAGGATCAAGTGGAAGATATATCAACAGTAGCGCTGGGAAACTATTCAACAAGCCCGTGAAAACAAAAGTGCTTTTGCTCAATGTTTTTCTCTCCTGTCGGCCATTATGCAACGGCCATTTTATACACAACCCCGCGCTCACGTCAACAGGTCTCTTCCTGTGGTACGGTAATTAGTATAACCCTCTCGCTCAAGCTGTATCTTCCATGATATAACCTACTCTCATTAATTAAATGCTGCTCTTTTCCAGCGTCATAGCTGAGACAAAGAGACCCAACCATCATAAAGTAATTAGGGTCCAATAAAAACAATGCCCGCCAAGCCTCCTAAACATAATCACTGAAAGTCGGACTACAGACATTTAATGTCAAATCAGAAAAAAAACACATTTGAATGGCAATTACATTTGCTAGTATCGTGTATTCTCTTGACACCATCGCAAAACATGTAGAAGCCACACCAGTACTCATATTTTCCTACATCTAAATATGAGACATCAGCAAGTACAAACAAAAACATGTGTATTAGCATTTTTCGTCAGGATATCAAAAATGTCTCTCCTTGTTACCACCACCAAGTTCAGCTTAAACTGGGTCCTCCTCTGGTCAAAAGTTTGTTCCCCCTCTAATGAGTGTGTCACGCGTTCCACACGGTGACCAATCGGGTGCACACGTGTTGCGTAACGTTGTGCCCACTCGTGTGAGGGGAATGAACTTCTAGCCAGTAGTGATGTACGTCGTTCATCGATAGTCGAATACATGACCATAAACAGAACATGACAATAGAGACTAATAGGACAACAAGCACAATACAAACGGCCCACTTCTTCTTTTGGTTTGGTTTGTTCTTGTTCTGCTTACACTTCACGTTTTCGTCCTCCTTGAGTCTTTGTCCAATGTGGGCAATGACAGATTGCTTTTTGAGATACTTCTCTATCAGTATTTCGGGGTCATCATGATAGTTGTCATAAGTATCTCCCTCTGGTTTGGACTTAGAGCATACATCATCCCGCTGCTGTATACATTCCTTTGTAAACTTTCTAATATCTTTGACCTTGGCTTTGTCGATATAGTTCAGAAATAAACGAATGTCTAACTCCAGTTTTTGCCAACCTGCTGCTGTCTCGTTATAGAGTTTCTCTTTCTTGTCCAAGTATTCAAGAAGAAAGATTCTGCCAGTTTCAAAGGTAGTTGCAAATCCAGAGACTAATCCTATGACCGTCTTAGAGAAGAGAACCCAATTTTTATTATCACCCACGGGGAGATACTGACATAGATTAGCAGCAGCCACACCCATGACAATGCTAGCTCCAATCAGTGTCCAAAATGCATAGTTTCCGTATTTTGTTGCCCGTTCGAACATCATGTAAGAGGCCATTAAACTGCGAATTCTCAATTCTTCTAACATCTCCACATTCCCTTTTCTTTCTTCTTGAGACATTCAGTTATGTGAAAAGGGTCAACACGCCTGAAGGAGAAAATGCAGTGAATTATCATTCAATTAAACAATGTCTTGAACGTACAAACCAAATGGGATTTGAAACCGAGAACAGTATGAATATTTGAAAGAGTGAGATTTTTCCGCTGCTTTGAACACATATTCATTTATGACATGGCGCGCTAACGTATGGTGCGAGCAAGGGTATGGTGCAAATAAACTCTCTCTGTCTTTGTGTTACAGGCTGGTCACAGTGAATACGGTAAATGAGGTAGAAGGAAACACACCTAAAAGTCTCTGTGGGGGTGGCGTTGTAGATCCATGTGAGTGGAGTTGCAAAGATCGACTCAAGGAATGTGTACCGTCATGCGATATGCGTTAATCAGGAGGGACGGGGATTGATCATACAGACATGTATGCTTCCTTGTAGCACACAGATCATACGCGTTATACATTCGGAAAACTTGTTAAGTAGTTAATACTAAATGTAACAACAATAAGACGAACTCAATTATTTATTTATCATTTATCGATTATTGAACACGTATTGATAAACAAGCTGACGGTCGTCACTGCTGTCAAAATAAAACCTGGACTCAACCGCGAAGAGGCTCAGCCTCTTGTCCAGTAGCATGCCAGACGTGCAGCTGGATGATGTGTGATGTTTCCAAAGTTCCAGAGGGGCGGGGATTGAGGATGTGCAGTGGTGAGTAACGCCTCTCCCCCACTTCCTTCTAACACACAAATCACTTACACATACGGAAAACTTAAACACGAAGATTCTATTACATTTACACGCGTAACAACACTATAATGAGCTCATTTGTTGGTTCATGTGTAAATGGGGGATATTTGGACCCAGTTCCTTGCGCAAATAATCAAATACCCTGCCCAGTTACTAATTGTAGACTACTGTTTGGGGGCTTTTGCGATCACTGAACATGAAGTGCCAATTTAGAAATGCACCCTCGTTAAAAAAAGCTGTGTCGGCCCTTGCTATTAACCTGTGCAGCCCAGACTTTCAGTTTTTACATATTTGTGTTTTTTTAGTTTGGAAATTTTTTTTGTCATATAGAGCCACAGTTCCTTTTTAATTGAGTGAGTGAGTGAGTGAGTGAGTGAGTGTTGACTTACATCACAATGAACAGTTTTGCTTTGTCACGATCCCACCACCCCTGCTCTTAGTTCAATAGCTCATATTTACCAATTATAATGGACATGGTTTAATTAATGTGAAGGCTCTTCGTGAATTGTATTGTGCACTTCTTTACACATTTATTTGTCTGATGATTCTCATGTGAAGCTCGTCAAGACTTATGATTAAAACAAGGCATTCCGCAGTTTTCTTAAACGTGCCAAGGATGTGGGACGTAATATCAATGTCAGTGTTAATTATGTTGATGGTTTTGTACTGCTGGACGGTACAGAAATGAGTGTCAACCAAGCGAAGTGCCATATCAAATCGGCCAAGACTCAATTTTTTCAGGGACAGGCTATTTGAACGACCACTGCATCGCGTTTATGTGTTGTGTTTTGAGAAGATCAGCAACCCTGCAGAGTCCTTCGCTTGGATAAAGTCGCCTGGCCTGTAAAGTGAAACAGAAGGCTTTCTGTTTGCAGCTCAAGACCCGTCACTACACACATTAATCTTTCAATGTGGGATTTTGCATCAAAATGTAAATATGAAATGTAGATCATGTACGGTGGCCCATAAAGGACATGATTCTGTTTTTCAATATTTTGATATTTCACTTACTTTCATCGGAACCTTTTGCAAATTAACACAATTTGTCATACAAATATGTGATAAAACATGTGTAAAAACAACCGAAAACATGGAAAATGTACTTTCAAGTAGCTATTGAATGTTGAAATGTGAAGCGAAAATGTCAAAAAACTAAAATGAAAGTACAGAAAACTATTTCCAGTGCGGTGATAATATGTCCACCGCGGTTTAAATATTATCACCGTGGTGGAAATAGTAGCCGCAACCCGCTATGCAAAGCGGCGTTAAACCCAAGTTGCTCACTCACTCATTACTCTTGTGTACGGTTCCGGTTTTTTTAACTCGGTTTGTGTTTAGATTTGAAGTATGTTTAGAAGAATGTGACTACATCATGCAACCGTATTATCCTTTTGGAAAATAATTGCAAACTACAGACAAACCTATTGATTGCCTATGTATCCAAAAACAAAGAACATATACGAGTTTATAATCTCTGCCGGAAGTTAAGAAAAACTGTTAAAACAATAAACCATGCAGTGCCGTAAGCCGTTTGAAACGGAATGAATCATCACACATTACACACAGTGAACTACTTGAAACAATACTGTGATCAACCATGCACAGCAAGCGCCATACATGTGATTATGAAGAAAACTAATAACAGATTTCTAGTATCAAACCCGTTGTTTTACATGTGTTGTCTATTGAACAAAGTCATAATTTATAGAAACTTGGTATATACTCGTGTTGAACAATAAGTTGCAATTACAGTGTGAAGGGAGAACGATTGAGTGCACGATACATATGCACTCACTCTCAATGATGCAGCTTGAAAAAGAAACGATGTATAACATTGCAAGGTCAGTGCGTGATAAAGCTCGATACTACGCCTATAGCTGAAGGAAGTAATCGCTCAATGCGCAAGTTTATTCTTACAACACATAGACCGGTTAACTTTAACGAAAGGAGATATATTTCCCCTAAAGAAATACAGAATGTGACAGGCGATTGGTTAAAACATGTCCAGATTAAGTAGATCTCATTTCATTTAAAAACTTTCGTCAAAACCAAACTAACCCTTCTGATAATAGTAATAATAATAAAATTATTGTTAATAATAATAATAATAATAGCTGCATGCAGCAATGGCAGGCTCCAAGTAACACTGCGCACAAACGTCCATGTTCGAATCCTCATCGGGCTTGCTTGTGCTAACGCTATGAAATGTAAGCACCGCTTGCGGACATCGCCGCTACGACATTTGCATGTGCCGGGGTGTCCAAGGGTGTTCTACACCCTTCTCCGACCTCGAATCCTCATGTTGAATCATTAAAGGGTTTGCTTGTACCAACGCCGTCAAACTCCGATTGCAGGACGTCACAGCTACGTAATTTGCTACCTTTCAATAGTTCTGTAGAGAACCTTACAAGATATGATCTTTAAAGTAAAATTTCAGTGAAAAAAATGATCAAAATAAAAAATCCAATATGGCCCCAACTTAAAAAGATATCCAAAATCGGCTAACAAGTTTTGATGTGTTATGTATGGAGACAATTCTCAGAAAGTTTGAAAGCATTTCATGCCGTGGACTCGGAGTTTGAAGACATGTACCCAAAAGACACTGTGAAAAATGTGAATCCAATATGGCTGCAAATCACGTGACCAATGACCAAAGTCAAAGAACAAAACATGTCAAGCAACTCAAGCAGAAGATACATGCAAGGTTTGAAAGTAATCGAACAAGCGGTTGAGGAGCAATAGGACGAAAGATATCCTCAAAAAGTACTTGTTTTTCCGTTATCTACCCTTAGTCATCTGGCCTACGACCTTGGGATTTTGACGGGCACTAGTATTCATCCTCTACACACACATGAGAAATTTGAAAAAATCGAACCAGTGGTTATTTTGCTAGGTCTGGTACAAAAAATCGGCGGAATAATAGATAATACTTTATAAGGATAATAATAATGATAAATCGATCGATTACAATAGGGCTATACAGCCTTTCAGCTTGGAGCCCTAATATAATATAATAATATGAAGAACATTTCTATAATAGAAGTATGAATTCAAGCACTATATAACAATAGATTGTTGTAATATAAATCAACGTACCACCATAGCAATATAATAGAGAATGAACAGAGAACCACAACATCCTGTTAACATTCGAATTGCTAAATGAAATGTTGACGGTGGTAAGTTTAATCAAGTCTTTTTAAGGATTGACGGTGTATTTCTTTCGGTTCATCGAGGTATGAATCGGAAAACCGATGTGCAAACTGTATGAATCCGAGACCAAGACTGACTGATCTTCAGACAACTGTGATATAACAGTGACATTGCCGACCGTGGAGAAACAATGATACTCACGTTTAACTCCTGGCTGTCCTGTCGTGTGTATATACTGACTGCTAAAACTATTTATTACCGATATGAATTATAACAAATAAGGTTATCCGACATATAATCAACCAATGACATTTGACTTGTTTTTTCCCCCTTCTGTAGGACGTGTGTTTTCCGCGTATTCTGTTATCAATTTTCCTTATTTTATTATCAATTTTCCGTATTTTGTTAAACGTTTTCCTCATTTTATATTACATCTCCCTATGTGACCTATAAATCCTTGTTATCAAGTGATATTATCTTTGCTATGCAACATTTTTACGTGTTACCTGTTTATCATGTTTATTCAGAGATATTGAGGTATGTATTAATGCCCTATGTGCATTCCGTGGCGGATTATGTCCCCAGCACCCGAGTTCGTCTCCTCGAAGCGATTTCGTGGAAAATTAGGACCCAACCTCATGCTTGTCTCCTCGTAGGGACTTCCTGACAAACTTGGTTCCCAGCACAGCATGCATGTCAGCTCGTCGAGATTCCGTGACAAAATAGATCACCAGCACTGCATGCATGTCTCCTTATAGAGTTTGAATGACGAAACAGGACCCCACTTCAAGCTTGTCTCCCTGAACGGATTCCGTGGCAAAATAGGTTCCCAGCACAGCATGCATGTCTCCTCGAAGGGATTCCGTTACAAAATAGGACCCCCACGTCATGCGTGTCTCCTCGTAGAGATTCCGTGACAAAACAGGACCCCACCTCATGCTTGTCTCCTTGTACGGATTCCGTGGCAAAATAGGTTCACAGCACAGCATGCATGTCTCCTCGTAGAGATTCCCGGACAAAATAGGACCTCACATCGTGCTTGTCTCCTTGTACAGATTCCGTGGCAAAATAGGTTCCCAGCACAGCATGCATGTCTCCTTGTAGAGTTTGAATGACAAAATAGGACCCCACCGCATGCGTGTCTCCTAGTAGAGATTCCGTGATAAAACAGGATCCCACCTCATGCTTGTCTCCTTGTACGGATTCCGTGGTAAAACAGGTTCCCAGCACTGCATGCATGTCTCCTCGAAGGGATACCGTTACAAAATAGGACCTCACATCATTCTTATATCCCCATGGGGATTCCCTTTCAATAATAGTACCTAGCATCGCATGCTTGTCACCTCGTAGGGATTGCGTGAGAAAATAGGACCCCACCTAATGCTCGTTTCCGCATAGGAATTCCATGGCAAAATAGTTCCCCAGCGCCGCATTCGTGTCTCTCGGATGGATACCGTGGCCAAATATGTCCCCAGTACCGCATTCTTGTCTCCAGTGTGATTCCGTGGCAGAATAGGTCAACAGCACCACATTCTTGTCTACAGGATGGAAACCGTGGCCAAAATTGTCCTCAGCATGTTTGTATCGTGTGGGATTCCGTGGCCTCCGCCTCTGTGGTTTGCGGAGAACTCAAGATTTGATTCGATTACCTGACGCCAAATAAACCCCACTTTACCTCACCTCACCTACTATTTACTTGCCTAAATTGACGAGAACAAAAGACAGCCGTCCAATCAAATAAATCTGTGCTTTTTCAGATGTAGGAGCAGCAGTGGCGGTGACGTCACTTCCAAAACGAAATGGAACTGAGATTCCATACTCTAGACTATTGAGGATGCTGGAAATGGTATTTGTCGTTTCCATTTTGTTTCGTTCCTTCGTTATTGACTCTAATAGTATAATATTGTAGACTATATCCGTGTATGTGCACATAGCTCTATATCGTTAATACGTTATCCGTTAATAATGTATGGAGAACAAAGTACATTGAAGGAGTCCTGTAACTAACAGGATCTGCTACTCGCGGGTTCGAACCCCAGATTTGCCTCAGTTGCTCAGAGGAAGAGCAACAGCGGTTGTTTTGTTCGACTGCAGTATGTTGCTAAATGCCGTACGCTGAGCAACAGGTACAGTTTTTACTCTGCAAAAGCTGGAGAATTTCATTTTCAGAAAATCAGTGGAACATTTTCTTTCGGTAAACTAAAGGAAGACGCTTCTGTATAATATTTTCTGGAATAGATAATTGTTTGTCCCCACCTCCTTATACCAGATGGCCGGCTTTTAACTACAAACGATTGAATCAAGTTCATCGTTGTCATTGTGAATGGAAGGCGGTTATGAAAGAATACTGCATTAGTGAAACACATCAATATACGGAAATGGTCACAGCGATCTATAGCTTTGTCAGCATATATTACAGTATACAGGTGAGAGGCTTAGTGCCTGGTGGATTGTCCCGGAGCTGAGCTCCTCCCGACTAGGGTGTTAGTAAAATATAAATAAAGAAATAATAGACGACTTGGTAAAAGATCACAGTTTTATTATTTATCAGATGTATATAGTCAACGAGAGACAATCTAAAGTGGATGGACTCCAATTGTCATAAGCAAAGATCACTGACGAATAAACAATGAACTATGTGCAAGCGCGTTAACTATGGACGCGAAAACCAGTTATTCCATAAGATGAATGAATGAATGAATAAAATCTATATTTCCTCCAGAATAAAAATCCGATGATTTGCAATATCTCTGATATTCTCAGAGCCAATGAGTGAGTGAGTGAGTTGGGTTTATCGCCGCTTTTAACAGCATTCCAGTTATATCATAGCGTGTCAGCTGAATGTGGGAGGAAAGCCCGAAGTGATGCAGGTCTCAGACGTTTACCACTTCGGTGAAACCCACGAGCACGGGTATGGTGCTAACAAACCTAGAAACATAATCGGGGCGAACCGGGATTCGAACCCACGATCATAGGTTTCTGGCGTGCCAAGCGGACGCAATCCGGGACAGCGAATCGAGGCGCCTTAGACGACTGGGCCACCCGTGCCCCTTTTTACCTCGGCCTTGAATGACTCTGGCAAAGTGTCGTTGAGTATTCTCTATCTGAATAGTATTTGACCACGTATACCGCTTTGCAGCTAACAGGCACAGAAGCTAGTAGAGAGAGCCACGCGGTGCCATATTGTAGCTACGGTGGCCCATAAGGGACATGGAGTATGTTTTTCAATATTTTGATATTTTACTTACTTTTATCATAACCTTTTGCAAATTAACACGATTTGTCATACAAATATAAATAGATCGTTAGATGGCGTCAATCATGATATTTCTCATAAGTATCTGCATCTGGTTTTGACTTAGAGCATATATTGTGCCGTTCCTGTATACATTCACTTATAAACTTTCGTAAACATTTGTTCGATGTTGTGTTGATTGAGTTTAGAAAAAGACGAATGTGAGAGAAAAGCGGAGAATGCAATATCGGCATTACAATGCATTTTCATTCTAATTCATGGAAATAAATTCTGTTTATAAATTAATCATCATAAATCTCACATATGCCTTTGTTTTTGGTGTTTGGTCAAGTGAAGTCGGTGAAAACTTTCTTTTGCCCGGTAGTTTATATAGTGATATAGCATTGCCGACTGAGGAGTCACATTGCACAACGTTACTCATGCACAACTCCTGGCTGTCGGCTCCACTCCTGGGTGTCCTGTCGCGTGCATGTACTGTACAGTTCTTGTTATATCAGTCACGTGGTAGACTTCTACAAATATGAAATACAGACATGACACCAAATAAGTTTATCAGTCGTATCAACCATTGACAATTGACTAATCTGTTTGTTTTCCTTCTGTAGGGCGTGTCTGTTTCCCTGTATTATCCATTTTCCTGATAAAAGATTCATATTTACTTTAATGACCCCTAAGTCCTTGTTAAGTCTGTCTTACAGACCCTGATACCAATATATGAATTACAGCCCATGCAAGTCTATAATGTTTGGCAAGTCTAGATTACTGCAGTATCAGAATCTGTATCAGTATCTGAAAATGAAGACAGTCTCTTGGCTCCTTATTATTATATTTTTTTTTCTGTACGATATGTTTATTTCAGAGACTAGATGTTAGTTTAGTCCTTGTTATCAGGAGATAGTATTTTTCCTTAGTCAATTATTTTTAAATGTTCTATATCATGCTTTCACTCGTATATATTAATTTGTGTTGTCCTAATAACTGTGATACTGAGGGTAGAATACGTACCCAGTGCCCGTTTCCTGTTGAAAGGACTTAAATGGGGATCGTATGGTCACAATGGCTAGTGAGAATTACAACTTATCACCAAGAATGACCAACACAACGTTGATCTTAAAAATGACGTGCTGTTTATCTGATACTCAATTTTCCAGAGATGTGTGTTTGAATGTGCTATGGGTATTCCGAAGCAGAACGAAAAGGTCCCCAGCGCCCCATGCTCGTCACCTCGTAGGATTTCCGTGGCAAATGTGAACCAAGTGCTGCTTGATTGTCTCTTCGAAGGGATTCCGTGGCAAAACAGGTTCCCAGTACCGCATTCTTGTTATCTCGTGGGATTCCGTGCCTAAATAGGTTCCCAGTACCGCATTCTTGTCTCCTCGTGGGATTCCGTGCCTAAATAGGTTTCCAGTACCGCATGCTTGTCTCCTCGTGGGATTCAGTGCCTAAATAGGTTTCCAGTACCGCATGCTTGTCTCCTCGTGGGATTCCGTGCCTTAATAGGTTCCCAGTACCGCATGCTTGCATAAAGCACAACTCCTGTTGTTTCTCCCTATAAAAATATTTGTAATTGGGAGTTATAATAACCAGACGTTTCCTAATATGAAGGCATATATTTTGTCATATAACTAAATTTCAATCTCAAACAAATAACTAAACCTTCATAATACCCAGGAGGTCTCAGCCTAATTGAATACCAGTACACCTAAAAGTTTCAAGGAAAATAAAAAGACTTCTGAGGTGAGGTGGTGAGGTGAAATGGAGCTTAACGCCGCGTTAACGTGTATTTGTGACCCGGGGTAGAATAGGTCTTTAGCTACTCATGCTTGCTGTAGATATGCAACTATGCTTTTCGTAAGAGGCGACTAACGTGATCTGGTAGTCAGGCTCGCTGACTTAGTTGATGTATGTCATGGTATCCCAATTGCGTGGATTGATGCTCATGATGGATTACCCTGTCCAGACTCGATTATTTTTCCGCCCGCCGTCATATAGC